TTGGCTGTCTTTCCTATTTTCATTGGCGTACAATGGTTTTCTGCCATATGGTTTGCGAAGTTCGAAGAAAGAAAATAACTGATTTTTACCTACCCGCGAATCCATGCAACAATTAATCAAAAAAGAGGTGAGCAGCTAATTTCTAGCTGAGGATGTACACACAGAACTGAAACTACTGGTTGAACGAAAGAATATAATCCGCTGAGACATACCTAACTATGAACCAACGACGATTTAACACGACTATATATAGTGACAGACAAACAGAAACTATTCAGAACGAAAAATGACACTGAAGATGGCACAACGCCGAAACCGGTTTGTCTCCAAACCAAATTTGACAAGGGATGACGGAAAATCGTTCCACATTACATCACACTCCTACCCTGTCGGAAACACCAAAAACGAAAATGAGATTGTTAAACTGTCTTAAAGTTTTCTAAGCTCTCATCCTCTGTCGAATCGTTCAACCAGAACTCCGTTGTACTAATTTTTACCACGTTTTTACAAACTCGCTTTCTTTTTTATTTCGTTTTAATTTGCACAAATTTACATATGTACATACATATGTATAAGCACACTATTTAGTTTGCTCGATTTGTAAACAAAGCTTCTCAGCGGCAAAAATTATACTATTGTGAACAACCTAAACGAGCGAAATTCACAATAGCGCTATTCTTCATCGAAGGAGCGCCATAATACCAAATGGAAATTCGTTCGATCAGCACTTTCGACCACAGTCGAAGATCGAATGCCACTCATAATAGAGGCCAATGTTCCAAAATTTTCACCAAAAATTGTACCCTTTCCCAAAAATTTAAAAGAAAATAACAATTGCTCAATGCGGTTTAGAAACCTAGGAGAAAATGGTTCCCAGTCGAATGATGCTTGCCTATTTAGGACGTTAGCATAAGGCGGTTCCAGATATAGGCGATTTCAGAAGTTAAGTTTGTATGAGTTTTCCAAAAGCTTCTAGTTTTCGCCATAATTAGGGTATTTACAATTTATTTAAGTTTCAGTTCCCCAGCGTAGTTGGTTTAAGACCTAAGACCTGGCGACCTCAAAAAAGCGTTTTCAACCTTTTTTTTGCGCATATATATGTATGTGTAGATATCCATTATTCCTCCACTGTAAGAACGTTAGGAATATCCCGACCTCAGCGCATCCTATCGTGTAATTTTTTAGTCCAAATATTCCTTTTCAATTGGCTAACATATGTTCTAATTAAGCCAAATCTGCACCTAAATTCAGTTCTTAGGAATATCCCGAACCCAGAGCCACCCAGCGATTAAATTTTTGGTCGAAATATTTCCCTTCAAGGTGCTGACATATGTTCCAATTATAAACAAAATCGGTCCAGCCATTTAGTAGTTTAGTGACATCGTGACGTCCCAGCTTTCTTAATTTTTTAGCAACAAAAACAAACAGTTTTGAATTATTTTAAATCGAAAAACCTTCCACACAGAAGATCCAAAAAAAGTAATTTTTACAGAATTGAAATCGGTTCAGCCGTTTGGTCAGGCATATCGGTCATACGAAAGACATTTCATTTTTATATATATAGATACGCAAATGCATTCCGATCCAGCTGAAGATTATGACAAAATGAAAGATTACGTACAACAGAAAAGAGCGAGTTTAAAACAATTTGGCAAATCATTTATAACATAACATTAACATAACATTCTGTAACCCATTAGCAACAATTTTCCTCATTGCAACGTGTCGACATTCATAACACCCATCGGAAAGTCGCGATGCCGATCCGAAAATTGTTGCTAAGAGTTTCGCGAACCAACTTACTTTTTATATAAAACTTACTGTAAAATATGACGAAAAAATATTTAAAAATATTATAAAGGCATGTTCATTAGGGTGGTCATTAATAAAGTAAAGTCGGAATTTTAATACTTTTGGAAAAAAGTAGAGCAACCTTGTTTTCAATATGTAATCCGCAAAAAATCGTAAGAACTCCGTAACTTAAAATAACGGTTGATAAGAATATTGCAAAAATTTATTGATAGCGACATAAATTNGCATGTTCATTAGGGTGGTCATTAATAAAGTAAAGTCGGAATTTTAATACTTTTGGAAAAAAGTAGAGCAACCTTGTTTTCAATATGTAATCCGCAAAAAATCGTAAGAACTCCGTAACTTAAAATAACGGTTGATAAGAATATTGCAAAAATTTATTGATAGCGACATAAATTATCCCAATAACTTAACTTTTAAAATTTTTTATTAAATAGTACATACGGACCTGTCCTGCAGAAAAAAATTATCAATTGATAAAAAATAACCCAGTTGTAGTTACCTTTTTTGCGGGATTTCTATAAAATATATAACTTGTAGTTAGCTACAAAAAGCTAACTTGAAACTAGTTGACAAGTAATGCAGGAGTAATGAAGGAGATTGTTTTCTTTAAAGGCGTTTAAACAAACGCGTTGAGGACAAGTAAAAGGAAGATCGAAATTTCATATTATCATTTTGAAGTTATGACTGACGGAGTTCGAATATGGGACCACCCATGATGCAATAATGAAAGGTGTTATACGTTGGCAACTTCTCGCTCTAATCCGCCATCTTGAACTACCTTAGGAGAAACTGTGTTGTTTCTTTGCTAATTTCACTGAACATTTCCCAAAATATTAGAAAAAAATTCTAAACAAGCTACATTGATTCAATTTTCGTTGTTCGTTTTGTTCTTATTCGCTGACATTTGTTTTCTAATTGCTTGAAATTTGGTAAGTATTGTAATAAAACCGATTTATTTTACAAATTAATTATAATTTTGCATTTATTAGGTAATTTCCTTAGTGTTTTCCTGGCCGACCTGTGCTGGTNTCCTATTGATATTTTATGTCCAAAAGTAGTTAGTGACATCTTATGCAGAGGTAAAAAACCCTTGATTATTTCGCGGCCATTGCCATGGAAATAAAGTTAGCTTTCGTCAAAGAAAATATACAGATAATAAGCTTTTAGCTCCTTCCTAATCAACTTACAGTTAGCTTATAGTTAGATACATTTCCTGCAGGGTGTAGAGAACACACAGAGCCATGTGTGTAAAACTAGTTCAATGAATAAATTAAATAGCATTATAATCTGAATTGGCATGGTGAATGCCTAACGCTGACGAGATGACATGATAAGATTAGTAGCCTCATGGCTCTTTGGAATCTACCTCATGGGCAGTAGCGCCGGCGTTTCCAGACGCGCCGGCGTCGCCGCCGCCGCAAGGCCTGCCGGCGTAAACCTCTAGTGTATACAGGCGACTGCATTTTTGTGGTTGCTGGGAATGTTTTGAGAGCGTATTTAGGAGCGAAAATTTAAAAGTGTGTCATATATTTTACTTTTTAATAATTTGAACGATACTAACATTTTGCAATGCAGTTTGCTTTTACAGAATATGGTGAAAATAACAAAACAATAACTTGAAATTGTATTAGTTCCCGTGGAGGACGCCCTTTGACGAAACAAAAGCGAACACTGATTGCAAATGTTTTCCTTTATCAACTGAAGCACCTCTTTTAAAACTACCGACACACCAAATTTTCCAAATGGAAGTCTTAATTGAATTGCTGTGACACTTCCTTCTGCGAAAAATCGAAGAGGTGCGCAAGCTTTTATGAGCGGAGGTATTGAAGTTGAACGAAGAGGTTCATCTGTTTATTAACCAATTATACTACAGCTCCTTTTGGAAGTCCTCAATTTTGAAAATTAACACAAAACGATAATAAAAGAAAATTAACTTTTGCTTACAGTGCACGCGGAGGATTGGAATTATCCTTTAAATATCGCCTGATTGAGGCCGCGCTCATGCACTTCTCTTCCTCTTAAACAAATAATTGTGATGAACTTAGCTTTATTGCTGTCTTTTCTTTAAAACTCTTTAATTTAATAATTTAATTTTACTTGCACAGCTTGTTTACAGCCGCTTGCTGGTTGTCTTACTGTCAAATTTGGATTATCGATAACTACAGCAACTGATGATAGTTGTCATTCGTAATACAAATTTTCTTTCCAGTTGCATTGCTAGCTGGCAACCGAACCGTGGTGCGTTGCTATCCGTAATCGACCCATAAAATTAATGAGGCGTATTCTTGTTTTCGTACGAATCGAAAATTTTAAATTTTTGTACAGAAAATTATAGGAAAATTTCAAGATTTTCGATTCGTACGAAAACAAGAATACGCCCCAATATCAATAAACATGCATGCATGTACAACTTCGAAGTAGTTACGGAAATTAAATTATAATACATATACATAACTCACCCACGGTGACAGCTTCTAATATTATATGTTAAAACAAAGTACCAGGAGCAATCTAGAAGCAGTGGAAAATGGTACCTACGAAAAAAAGTAGATGAAATGTGTTTGGTAATTTCCTCCGTTGAAGCGAGGTTGGCAGACGTTGTTGATCCCTCTCTGAAGCCGAGGCAACCTCTAACGACACAATCACAGCCTGCACAGTTGCTCGGGTGTCACTACGCGTAGGATGTTCGCCCTGGCCCGAGGGGGGGTCAACTACCTCGTTTAATGGAAGTTGGGGCGGATTCGGTTTCACCGCCATCACTTCGGTAGCTTTCGAGGCTGGGATGACCTCGTGCCAGCTCCCAGCCTGCCCAGTGGCCTTGCTGGAGGATGAGCAGGAGTCCTGGTCGATTTCTGCCGAGGCATCTGTAGGTTTCCCCGCCTCCGTCTCAACACTCTGCGGCTCCTTCGTAGGCGAAGTGTCCCTCAGATGTAATTTTATGTTTCCCGAATCTGTAGGCTATCCGACCATTCACCGCAGCGAGTCTCGTCATTGATACGTGGTCAATGAGTAGTACCAAATGTACAAACTGACCACTTGGCAGCCTGTGCGATATCTCCCAGCTACCGGTCGAAATGCGATTCTGAGCAGTGATGGTGTTCAGAATCTTCTCGTTACTGAGCTGCAGACTCTGGGGGAAATATCCTCGGATTACACGAGTTCGAGGGAACTCATTTTCCTCCAAAAAGTTAACGTCCAAGCGACACTTGGTCTTAATAAACTGGGCGTTTGATTTTAGCCACGTCGCCGTTTGAGCGTTCGAGCAGATGACAAGAAGCCACCCACCTCGAGGTACGCAACTGTCGACCGCGGGCTTTACGTCCGCGCTCGAGTTCTCAATCGTGAAGTCTATTATCGCCTCTTGTAGCAGTGCTAGTTGCTATACCGTTAAAGAATTGTTTGACTGAGTCAACCGGAACAAAACCCAAGTCTACGCTACTTACCACCCGGCTAAAGGTGGCTTTTTCGAGCCCCATGTGAGCCGGTCTGGGTTTTTTCGTGACATTGTCACTGGGTGATTGCTCCTCGGAGCGAATACGTTTCAACTACCCAGTGATCGTTGATATACTTTTGGCCATTTTTAAGGCCTCCTCCCTAGACTTGCCTTCGCCCAGGGCACGCCTGAAAATCTTCCGCTCTTTCGAGTTGAAGTATACAAAGCTGGACTTGGGGTCCAGAGGGTCCGTCAGAGAAGGTTGAGAGCAGCCCAAAGGCTGCAGTGAGTGATGATTTCCGAGCATCATCGGGCTCATCTAAATTTGATTCATTTTTATTTGAAATGTACATAAAATTGTGTGTTTGTACCGAATGCACTTTCAAACTAAATAAAGGCACGATTGTACCAACTTTTCCATCAATGTATGTAATCCAGCAGCTGATTTCGTATCGCTAATTGCGCAGCTGACGTATGTGTGAACACCAAACTCAATTCCGCTATTTAAAGCTTGATTGCCTCAGCTAAATGACCTGCTAATTATCTGTCTTATAGTTGTAAAGTTACCAGGAACACTCTCATAATTTAAAAAAGTTGTATACTCTAAATAATTAACAATATAAGGATGTGATGGCCTCGCCTGTCGCATACACTTAGGTAGTCCATTGGTGAATATATCGGTGGATTGAATATATTTTCTAATGTAGAGTGGACGCTGTCTACCTCCATACTTTTTACCTTTGTTAAATGTTGAATTAATTGCAAACGATCAAATTAAATAGTAGAATCTATGTAGTGTAAGTGGTATGTGCATACATATGTGTGTATTTATTTAGTTGGTTTATAATCATTTTTTACATCGAAATCAAAGCACACTCATCAGATTCGCCTGCTATCAAAAACAGTTATAAGCAAGTAAGCGTATACCCGTTTTTTCAGAGTATGGATTATGGCATATATATCTTTGTGGAAACTTGGTTTAATAGTAATTTCTTCAGCGAAGAATTCTTTGATTCCAACATTTTCCAGACTTATAGGAAAGACCGGGATGCTGAGAAAACTGGCCACTTCAAAGGGGGTGGTGTACTAATGGCTTTAAGGCGTAGCTTAAGGTCGTCCTTTTTTGAATTGCTCCACCACGATACGTTAATTGACCAATTATGTGTGCTTGTTGTTAGCTCGTTCGGCCCTTTGTTTATCTGTGTATCATATGTCCCACCTAATAGCTCAGAAGAGTTATATAACTATCACATAGAGAATATCTCACACATCTATGAAAGTAATGGAAATTGTAATCTTTGTATTTTTGGCGACTTCAATCTCCCTGGCATTAACTGGGCATGCTTTCAAAACTCGGGTTGCCATACCCCAACCAACGTTACTCGTTCGCATGAAATAGACTTTATTGATAATCTTTTTAGCCTTAATCTTACACAAATTAATTGCATATTCAATAAGTTATCTAAATTATTAGATCTTGTGTTTGTACACGAAAATTTGATATCTAACCTATCTGAATTTAAGACTCCGATGTGTTATCCGGATATGCATCATAATCCCCTTATCATATCTTCGGAGTTTTCTGAAAAGCTTTCCTTAAGGCAAAACAAGAGGATTTCCTACAATTTTCGTGATGCAGATTACGACGTCTTAAACCTGGAAATAAATGACGTAAATTGATGTGATATCTTCAATTAAAAAAATGATAGTATGAGTCTATGTCTGAGGTCTTCTCCGAGCAACTGGCTACCTTACCCTCCAATCCTCATAAATTACCCTGGCACTCTGACACTCTAAAAAATCTGAAAAATAAAAGAAATAAATACCACAAACGCCATAAGGCAAATATACACAATAATCATCTCAATACCTTAATAGTGCGAAACAGATTAATGTTCTTGACAAATTTCTTTATAACCAGTACATTAGGAGACTAGAATCTGAACTTAAAGACAACGCAAAAGCTTTTTGGAATTTCGTACGTTCTAAGCGTGGCAGTTCTAATATTCTGACTTGCATGTACTTTAACTGACAATGTTCGAAATCTCTAGCAGATACTGTGGAACTTTTTGCAAAACTTTTCAGTTCGAATTTCGCCTGTGAAAGCGATTCTATAAACTTACAACGAAGTTACTGGCCGACTCAACGCCTATATCTTGGCTCGATGAATGTCTCGACATCTGATATTACTTACGCCATGTCTAACCAAACTCCGACATTGAAATGTGATTCTGATGGTTTTGTGCACACTTCGTCAAACATTGTAGTCTGTCATTATGGATTTCTTTATGTCATATATTGAACCTATCACTTTCGACTGGATTATTGCCTCTTTAACCCCAGTCTTTAAATCTGAAAGTAGAAATGATATCACAAATTATTGGCCTATTTCAAAACTGTCTGTCTGCTCAAAGTTATTCGAAAGAGTGTTACATTTTAAACTCTCTTTTCTTGCCAAAAGAATAATTGAGCCCCACCAACATATTTTTGTGGCTGGTGGTTCAACGGTCACTAATTTAGCTTCTTTTCAGAATTTTGTGCTTCTTCCTTCAAAGATGGCTCTCAGGTAGACACCATTTATACGGACTTTTCTAAAGCCTTTGATAAGGTACCACACTTAATATTGCTATAAAAGTTGGGTGCATTGGGTTTCACTCTAAATTCCTAACATGGTTAAAGTCTTACCTTACAAATAGGACTCTCTCTGTAGATATCGATGATTGTAAATCTAATCTCTTTGTTGTAGCATCAGGTGTTCCCCAGGGTAGTATTCTTGGCCCCTTATTGTTTGTCTTGTTTATAAATGATATTAGCTCCTGTCTCAAAAACCTCCAGTTTTTTATTGTATTCTGATGACTTAAAACTCTTTCGTAGAATAACCTCCTCATCTGATGTTCTCTACCTTCAGGAAGACTTATATCGTCTGTTGTGGATTGTACTAGTTAAGCATACTACTATTTAAATTGTATAAATATATTTGTTGTGAACTGACTAACTAATTTTTATATATGGTTCAGTTGGCAGCCCCTAACTATCGATAGTTGAGTAACTTGACATCTTGTTATTTTCTATTTTCACGAAATACGGTATTTTGTATTCACACAGTTTTCTATAAAAGCCGAACTTTGAATATAGTTTCTTTCTACTCGATTGAAATAAATGTGCGAGTAGCACACATCACATCACCCCAGATGTGCCGTCTTTTCATCTTTTAATATCGTCTTTTAAGTTGGTTTGAATATTATAAACTGTATTAAAAAGGTGCTTAAAGGTGAATCTCAAAATATCCTTACAACAAATTACTACCTCGTAAACCATCAGCTTACTCCTGTTAGCGAATTTGTTGACCTTAGTGTCGTGTTTGACTCGAATTTTTCATTTGTAAATCATATTTGCCATTTACTTCCAAAAGTTTATAGTAATTTAGTATTTATTCGTAGATATGCCAAAGATTTTAGAGACCCCTATCCTCGGAAAGCATTATTTAATTCCTTAGTGCGATCTAAGCTTGAGTATGCCTCTATTATATGGAGGCCTATTTATAATTGTCACGCTTCAAGGATTGAATGAGTTCAAAAGGTGTTTATTTGATTTGCCCTCGCTTCTCTTAATTTCTCAGATCCGATTCCTTCATATTACCCCCGGTGTAAACTAATAAACTTGCTTGCGTTGGGAAATAGAAGGCGTACCCATTTACTCTTATTTGTCTTCGATCTTATCTCTGGCTCCATTGACTGCCCACCTCTTCTTGAGCAGTTTACCTTCAACGTGCCTCTCAGAACTCTTCGTTCTCGCATGCCCTTTTACGTACCTGCCGTTAAGACTAATTACTCATTTTTTGCGCATATTATTCAAATTATCTTAGTCAAAAATGCAGCCATGTGAGAATTTAGGCAACGTGCGAGCTGCCAGGTTCTCTTATGAATATAATTAACATAAGCTTTTCCACGTGGTTACCTTTCAATAAAGAGAACAAACAAATATTTGCAAATAAATTTAATTTATTTTATAGCTGACAACTAATGCACGCTTTTTGTTCTTTTTCAGACTCCATTTTGATTTTGACTCTTTATTACCGCCAAACAACATTATGTGTATACATATTTTCAAAATTTTGCATAGTCTCACGAGCTAGGTAAAAATTATGGCGTTCGTATTCACAACGAGAAATCTCAAAATTTTTTTTTGATCTTTCCCAATTTCGTTTTTTTTTATCAGTTGGCAAAGGCCCTCAGTGGCAGCGCGCCGAGCGTAATTTCATGTCAATTAGTAGAAAAGTTCCATGGTGAAAAAAAACTTTTTATTATCGTGAGAAAATTTTTCATTTCTGCTGCGCCAACTCGTAACTTTTTATTGCTGTAAATTTTTGACAGTTGCTCTAGTGCAAAAGAAGTTGAGCAATTAAAATGCAGCAATTATACAAAAAATACTTATCTTCAGTGTTGCCAACTTTTGATTTTCAAAAAGCACCGACAACTTGGAAAAAAAATCGTTTTACCACACTAAAAGCACCAAATGGTTTTGAATCAATGGATGCTTTTTTCAAAACAGTTTGTATGTATTTAACAAAAACAAAAATTTAACAATATTTACAAGAATGCATACATAAATCAATAAACAAAACTTTTTCACTCATAACGATTGAAAAGCCACATGCTGTAATGACTCATGCTTACGACGTAATACCGAAGTACTGCACCTTAAAACTGATATATCTCAAGAAAGTCAAATCGAATCCCAACAAACGAAAATCATGCCATAAGTAGAAATGAGCAAAAAAAATTGATGTTTTCATTATATAACCTCAAATATCGCAAAAAACCGTGATTTTGGCACTTTGAGGTTAGGGTATCTCAAAATTATAGTGCTAGAGCAATTGTGCGGCCAGATTTGGATTCAGCACCAAGAAACGATGTGTTTTACTCAGGTGGTACAAAAATAAAAATTTTTACAAATAATTAGAAAAGAAAAAAGAAATACTTAACTTACTCGCATATCTACTAGCATTTTCAACGCGAATAGAATTGAACAAGGTGAATTTGCAAGTTCAGCTTTTTATCAATCATGGTTGTATTTAAGTTCATTTAAATTTGTAGATTTTTGTAAATTCAGTGCTGCCACAGCTTTAAATATTTAAAAATTATTTCAGGTTTTAACTATATCGGAGAAATTTTAGTTCAGAAAAAAAGCACTAAAAAAGGCACTAGGCAATAAATAATATTTTTTGGTGTTTTAATTTTCAAAAAGCACTAAATCTAGTGCTTAAAGCACCGTTTTGACAACTATGCTTATCTTTACCGACTTTGA